TTCAAATTTGAAACTGAGGAAGCAAAGCACACAGTGGTAACCAATGGGCCCTACACAAAGGATGGGAGGCAGATTCACATGAGAGAGATTCCTCCTCACTTCAATTTTGAAACAAAGGAGATGACCATTGTACCTGTGTGGATCAAACTGAAAAACTGGCCTATGGAACTCTGGAATGAAGAGGCTATAGGAATTTTCACTTCAAAAATAGGAAATCCAGTCTGTACAGATGGCATCACTAACACCTTGAGCAGAGCATCATATGCTAGGGTATTAGTGCATGTAGATGCAGCAAAGCCACTCAGAAAAGTGATACCTATGGTGTTTCCTAATGGTGATAGGATTGAGCAAGAGATCATCTATGAGTTCACTCCTAAATACTGCCACCACTGCAAAACACTAACACACAACACAGAGGAGTGCTTTATTTTGGCAAAGATGGCAAATCTGACCCCAAATAAAGATAAGACTCCAAAGAGACAAGCTACTACTCCCAGAAGAGAAGCAGGTGGGGGGGATGGCCAAAGGGGAGCAAATCAGCCAGAAATTACTGGTATACAGAAACAGGGCAAGGTGCAGGACATAGTGCACACACAAAACTCTTTTGCACAACTGAAAGAAGCTGAAACTGATCCTGATCCATCACCAAGATCAGCCAGTGACAAAAGGAGCAACAAAGCAGAGGATAGGGCCACTGATGATCAAGATGCAGATGCTGCAGATTCAGGGGCTGAGGATACAGTGATGACCATAAAAGGACCAGATAAAGAAGAGAAACAGAGCAAAGGAAAGGATGTTGCTGTGGATGAGACAGAGGAAGGATTTACTACAGTAAATCACAAGAAAAAGCCCCCAAAACACCCCCCTTCTCCACATCTGAAGAACAAGTACTTAGGTCCATATGCACATCCCAGAAAACAAGGAAGAAGTACAGGAAAAAATGATGAAAAACAGGACAAAGGAGAAGAAGTGAGCAACCTTAAAAAATCAGAAGCTAGAAGGGGGCTGTTCCCTTCAACTTCTAAATGTTAATCAGTCACTGGAATGTGAGGGGATTTAACAGGCCCCTCAAACAGAATGTAGTCAGAAACTACATTCTGCAGAATAAAATAGATGTGATGGGAATTTTGGAGATGAAAGTGAAGACACAACAGCAAATAAACACACTAATTCAAAACAGATTTAGTGGGATGGCAGCTGTACATAATTTGGATAGTCATCAAGGAGGTAGAATCCTCATTTTGTGGAACAAAGACACAGTGGATCTTGAAGTAAAGAGCAGCCATGCACAGGTAATACATTGTTTGATTCAATGCAAGATAACTGGTCAAAAACTGCATTGTAGTATGGTGTATGGGCTGTACTCAGTGAGAAGTAGAAGAGAACTATGGGATTCAATAGAGAATTATGGTGAGAATATGACAGAACCTTGGTTGGTGATGGGTGATTTCAATTGTGTGATGAGCCCAGAAGAGAAGACAGGAGGCAATATACCTACAAATTATGAGCTAAAAGACTTCAATGAAACAGTATTGGGGCTAGGAGTGGAGGACATACCTTACACAGGCACCTTCTTCACTTGGTCAAATTCTGCAGTTGATAACACAATATGGAGCAAGCTGGACAGAGCCATGGTAAATAGTGCATGGTATGATCAGATGCCAGTAACAAAGGCTGATTTTCAAGCCCCTGGCCCTATATCAGATCATTCACCATGTATAGTTACTATACACAGAGAAAGTAACAAAGGACAGACTCCTTTCAGATTTTTCAATATGTGGACTAAGCATGAAGAGTTTCAGAACATAGTGCAGGAAAAATGGAAGTTTGAAGGGTATGGAACTGACCAGTTCAAACTGTGTAAGATGCTGAAAGGGTTGAAAAGACCCCTAAAGGAGCTAAATAGGGCTGCATTCAGTCACATAACTGCTAGGGCTGAGAGGGCAGCAAAAGAAGTGGAAGATCTACAGATTCAGCTACAAGCAGATCTGGAAAATCAGGGGCTAAAAGAGAGCATAAAACAGAAAAAGAAGACTGCTAATTTCCTGATGGAAGCTGAAAGACAATTCCTAACTCAAAAGGCTAAATGTAATTATGCCTTACATGCTGATAAAACAAATAAATTTTTTCATAGCATTGTGA